ATATATATATATATATCTCAAAGTTCTGTTTTGTTTTCAGCGTTTCCCTGAAGTAGAGACCAGAATTGGTTATATAAGGTCCCGTGTCTAGGACTAGAAGAGTTTAGGAGGAAAGAGGATGGAGATCACAGGAAGCAGAGGATAAAAACTCGGTGGGCAGTACTACATGCAACTCCGGAAGGGATGAAGTACAGAACACAAGTGTCCAGCTCTAGTTCTCTACAGATAAAAGCCATCTATGTCTTTTAATGTGATTGTACAAGGACATATGAAAATTTCATTAATTTTGGCTTGTTTGGAGAATTACATTTTCCCTCAAAATAATGAAAACTAAGATGATTGCTAATAGAATGTGATGTGTTATTTTATGTAACAGCCAGAGTGTTTACTGAAGTCTAACCCTGAAGCCTGTGGAGAAGAGACCAAAAGCTTCTATTTCCTCATCTGTAGAACAGAAAGGCACTGGGAAGAATAAGATGATATACAGATCACCTAAAAAGCATTTTTTTTTTAGTTGGAGTCTCACTCTATCACCCAGGCTGGAGTGCAGTGGCACGTTCACAGCCACCCCAGTGTTGACCTGCTGGGCTCATGTGATCCTTCTGCCTCAGTCTTCCAAGTAGCTGGAACTACAGGTACACACTACCATACCTGGCTAATTTTTTGATTTATTGTAGAGATGAGGTCTCACCAAGTTGTCCAGGCTGTTCTCAAACCCATGGGCTCAGGCAATCCCCACACCTCAGCCTCCTAAAGTGCTGGGATTATAGGCTTGAGCCACTGCACCCAGCCTATTTTTGTTTTTTAAGTATTGCGTGAATAAGGTAACTAACATAGGATTTGACAACAGTGAAGAAGGTTCAAGTTCACCCTCTATATGTCAGCTGTCTGACCTTGCACAAATCAAACATACTTAATGAGATAAGAATCAAAGAGATGATATGTGCATGTTAATACAAATAGCTATATAAATGTAAGTCATTGACCGGACTCGGTGGCTCAGCCTGTAATCCTGCACTTTGGGGAGCCAAGGTGAGGGAAATGCCTGACTCCGCAGGTTCGAGACCCACCTGGGCAACTTGGCGAGACCTCATCTCTACAATAAATCAAAAAATTAGCCAGGCATGGTAGCACGCACCTATAGTTCCAGCTACTTGGAAGGCTGAGGTGGAAGGATCGCCAGAACCCAGCAGGTCGAGACTGTGGTGGCCGGGAGCATAGCACTGCACTCCAGTCTGGGTGACAAAGTGAGACTCCAACTCAAAAAAAAAAAAGTAAGTCATTTTATATTATATCATATCAGGCTAAGTAAACCTGGGCCTTATGTTCATTATTCCTAATCTTTGGGGTGTGGGTGGAGAGAACTGAGGGACTCCTACTGCAGAAATGTTGTTCAGTAACAGAGATGTGAAAATATAAGTTATTAGCCGGGCGTAGTAGCGTGTGCCTGTAGTTCCAGCTACTTGGAAGGCTGAGGCGAAAGGATCGCCTGAGCCCAGCAGGTCAAGGCTGCGGTGGCCAGGAGCATGCCATTGCACTCCAGTCTGGGTGACGGAATGAGACTCCAACTCAAAAAAAAAAAAGAAAATATAAGTTATGACCTTCATATGAGAAGATGACTACCTCAACATACACTAATCAGGTGGGTACTCTCTCCTCTCAAACACATACTCGCCTCTCATATACACAGCTGCCAGGATGACAAGCGTTATCAGTGGTGATGGGGATTTTCTCTATGGAACTGAACTAGTCAACCCATAATTCAGATCACAAATAAGAATGGAAAGCTTTTCACTGAAACATAACAGGGAAGGGCGAACTCCAGCATCATTCATTCATTCATTCATTCATTTACTCAGTCCCTATTTTATACCAGGCTCTATTTCAAGTCCTGGGTATTCAACAGTGATCAAAACATAAAAAGTTCCTGCCATCACAGAGCTCACATACTAGCAGAAAACTACAGACAGTAAACAAACTGGTAGTAGGTCAGTGGTAACTAAGTGCTACAGAGAAAAGCAGGCAGGGAAGAGGGCTGCCTGTTTTTATTTTATGTTTTTGGAGATAGGGCCTCATTCTGTTCATGAGATTGGAGTACAATAGCGCAATCACAGCTCACTGCAGCCTTAACCTCCTGGGCTGAAGCAATCTTCCTTGCCTCGGCCTCCGGAGTAGCTGGGACTACAGGTATGCACCACCACACCTGGCTAAATTTTTTTATTTTTGTAGAGATGGGGTCTCGCTATGTTGCCCAGGTTAGTCTTGAACTCCTAGCCTCAAGCAATCATCCTGCGTTGGTCTCCCAAAGTGCTGAGATTACTGGCATGAGCCACTGTGCCAAGTCAGGATGCAATTTTTTTTTTTTGAGTTGGAGTCTCACTCCGTTGCCCAGGCTGGAGTGCAGTGGCACACTCAAGGCTACCCCACCATCAACCTGCTGGGTTCCAGCAATCCTTCTGCCTCTGTCTTCCTAGTAGCTGGAACTACAGGTGTGCACTACCATGCCCAGCTAATTTTTTTATTTATTGTAGCCATGAGGTCTTGCCAAGTTGCCCAGGCTGTTCTAGAACCCATGAGCTCAGGCAATTCTCTCACCTCAGCCCCAAAGTGCTGGGATTACAGGCTTAAGCCAGCGCTCCTGGCCCAGGATGCAATTTTAAATAGGGCAGTCAAAAGAGGTGTCACTGAGATGCCATTTAAGCAAAGACCTAAAGGAGACGAGAGAGCAAGGCACATGGATGTGTGGAGAGAGTAGTGGGGGCTATACAATCCTCTCTAGCAAGGTCAGATAAGACAAACACAACCACTTACCTTTCAAAAGGGGTTGGAAGGTTGGAATCTCTTGCAATTTGATGACGTCGGGATCATTGCTGACATTCCGTGAGGCCTGGGAGCCCTGAGCTACAACCACAATATCATCCATCTTGGCTCTGTGCTTGGCTGGAGAAGGAGTCACTGAAAATAAAGTTACATGGCTTAGGAGCTGGCATGGTTTTCAGCGTAGTAATTTTCAGCATAGTAATTCAAAAGAATATTTTTATGCAACAAAATGTAGTCATCTTATGGTGGGGGTTGAGGTGGGAAAGGATGAATTATAGAAACTGTTTTCTACAGTGTTTAAAAAACTCAGACTTTACAGGAACATATGTATGAATTTCTTTTGTAACCAAAGATTTGATTATTCAGCACACAAAAGTATAGGCTGATGGTTTTTAATTTCTCCTTTAATTCCCCTGATACTCTGACATACAGCTCTATCTTACAGATGAGAAAAAAAGGATTTAAAATTTGACTGTGACTTGCTTGAGGTCAACAGTTTAGAAACAGTTAGGAAAGGAACTGGACTCATCCCTGTGACAGTGGGGTTGCAAAGTCATTTATCCTCCTTGTCACAGCAGGCCAGGCATGTCTAACAGATCCTAATCATGGGGGAAAAACCCTGATCTCAACCTCAGATGATGAGTCTATCCCTGAGGCTCCTACTGTCTCAATTTTTTTTTAAAGAGATGGAGTCTCACCATGTTGCCCAAGCTGGCCTCAAACTCCTGGGTTCAAGTGACCCTCCCACTTCAGCCTCTTGAGTAGCTGGAACTACAGCCAGGGAGTACCCTTAAAGTGATAGCATTATTCCAAGAAGGGCAAAAATAATCAGTAGGTCCACTCGAGGCTGAGGTAAATTCAGAAAATTGGAAGACTGCTAGAGAGGCAGGTCAATTTCAGGATCCTTGGGAGAATGTAATTCATCCGGAGGGAAGTGACTCAAACTACAAGGGACCAAGACATACCCCTAGACCTAGACATACTTCTCCCCTCAAATACCTTCCTGGTCAAGGCAAGAATGACTCTTTAACATGTTTTTGTGCTCCAGAAGGTAATTATCTCAGGGTCATCATAGTCACGCCTCAAAGGTTGATCCAGGTATGTCATAGAACTGCTCTGGCCCCTGGAATGGTGTCCTGAGGCTTGGTATTCACTCGCTTAGAAAAATCTCTGCTACTTTTATTGCTCTTCAATAAAGATTTCCTAACCTCTTTTGACAATTTACCTAACATTTTACAAAAGCAGTGCCAGAAATCTTCCCTGCTACAAATTGTGATGAGTCTTCCTTTCCCAGACCTCAGAGGAAAGGGGACTTCACAATATTCTAGCTAGCCTCTATTACCTGATCTGTAAGATGGGGTTACTGTAAAGATTAAATGTAAATATATGTAAAACACATGGCACAGGGGAACAAATTCTAACACCAGAAATGAGCCTATGTTGTTGGTTCAGGGGCCAGCAAGCATATTAAAAAGACGCCACGCCCTGTACACCAAAATATGCTTCAGGCCTGACATAAAGGCAAATAAGAGGTAGCAATTATCACCATATCTGTTATACCAGATATGACATTTTGGGCCTTCCAGGAAAATGGAAGAACATAGCAAAGCTAGCAGATGCTGCTCACCATTCAAAGCTATTCCAATCCCCAGAATGCAGGTCTGAAATAGTCTTGGAGGACACACTTGGGTGTGAAACACCCCTAGATCTGCGAGCTTCCACAGTTCTAAATTATGGATCCTACCAGGGACAGAGCAGTTCTAACACCAGGGGTTCTTTTTAGGTCCCAGGTTTGATCAGTTTGGATTAGCAAACCTGGGCACCCCCAGCTGTCCTCGGGTTTGTCAGTCACAAAAGAAGCAAATGGTCAATTAAATATCAGCGGTTTTATTTATTGCGCACACACTATGTTCCAAGCACAATAAACCTCCCAGTCCCAGTCCCGAATGCTGAGAGAAATGTAAAAAACATGAACGACGGAGAGAATAGAGGAAAACACCAAAGCCGGCTGTCTGGCCAACGTCTGTAACGTTAAAAAAGGGGGCAAGACACCTTCGGAGGAGAAAAAGCTGTTTCTGAAGACGTCTGCAACCCAGGGTTCAGAGCAATTGTGCTCCTATCACACATCCCTTCTGAAAAGGAACCACTAAAACCCGTTTTTAAGAAAGCCTGTTCTTAGAGGTCCTGTCTCTGCTCCATCCACTGTGTGAGCCAAATCTCACGACGTCAGCCATGAGCACTAGAGCCAAAAATTAATTAGGTCGTCTCTTAAAGACTAGGCTGTAGCTGGGAGAAACGGCTGTTTTGAGAAATAAATAATGGGCACGGGCGCCCACGCTGGCTTAGCTTGCGGTCACAGACACTCGCCTCCATCGGGAGATCAAGGCTGGGACAGACGATGAATTTTTTTTTTTTTTAATAAGTAGCAAGGTGAGAGCTCTCAGGGCGTCCCCGTCCGCCGTCCCGACCCCACGAGGCTGGCGGGGCAGCCCGCCGGGCAAGCGGACAGGGCCGGCGGA